CCTGCGCCAGCCTGCCCTGCGGGTGGGGCTCCGCACATCCTGCACCAGGCCCGCGAACCCTGGGCTGAAGAAGCCAGGCGAGTCCCCGAGCTTCCAGGCGCCTCCGCCAGGGGGCGCAGGCAACAGCCAATGAGCAAATCGCAGTGAACGGGACGGTGTGGGGGCGGGGACTGTGGGGCGTGGGGGGCTGTGCGGGGCGAGGACTTCAGAAAAGGTCCCTGAACCGATCCTGGGGTCACGCCAGCGATCGCGGGTCCCCGAGGGGCGCAAGTGCCTGTTGGGAGGGGGGGAATCCTAGGCCAGGGCCGGTGCACTCCCTGGGGAAGCAAGAGGACACACGCTGATGGGCGACGTGGGGCGGAGGACTGAGGCGTGACCCCTGGCGCTGAGGCCGTGAGGTGCTCAGTGGCCTCGATGCGGAGGGTGTTGGTACAGGGAGCCAAAGGTTCGCTGAAGCGGCTTTCAGAGAACAGGAGGGGGGAGCCGGTGAAACCAGGAGACGTCTCTTTGCAGAAGCTGAACAGCAAACAGGAAAATAAGGAGGACTGTAGCAGAGGAGGAAAGGGGAGCGAGAACCTTCCTCCTCTCCGATGGGAGGGAAACGTGGCGGCGTTGGTGACTGTGCGGAGAAGGGTCCGCGGAGAGCGGGAAGTGCTGCTGGGGGACAAGCGCGGCCCCAGGGGTGGCATCCGCTGCTGAACGAAGGGGGCGGTGGCCGTGAGCCGGATGCGTGGTTTCCAGGCTCAGGAGGGTGTGGGCACAGAGGCTGGCAGGCAGGGAGGGGCGTGAAGGGGGCGGGGTCTGAACCAGCCTCTGGAGTCCTTGCTGCTTCACCAAAGATCCTGGCGTCCCCAAGGCCAGGATGGAGGACAGGACTCCAGACGAAAGCAGCGACTGGGGTGCGAGGTGACCAACAGACCAGCTTTGTCTTCCCATCCCTGATAAACCTGAGCGTTTACTGGTACGAAGACCCTAGATAGATCCTCTGGGCCGCAGCCCAGCCCAGGGCGGGGCCTAGAAGTCCTGCGGTGTCCAGAGTGGTCACACTCTCCAAATGGGACTGCAGGGACACTGCTGTTTAATGGGCTAAGGAGACACCACAAACGAGCACTTGTAAGTGTCACTGTGAGTCATGGCTGCTGGCCGTGGAAGACACACACAGCAGCCCGCAGGTCCTTCCTGGAGAACATGGCGAGGGTCTCCCCTCTCCCCGGACTGGGGGACAGCAGGGACCATCCCAGGACTGACAGCTGGGAGGCTTCCAAGCTCTTGGGGACACTTCCCTCTGGGCAAGCAGGGCCACCCAGTGGCTGGCCAGCACCCACGTCCTGTGGGTGAGCAGGAAAGAGGCCCTTGGGGCTCCTCCAGGATGTCCTCAGGGAGGGCAGCCTCAGATTTTAAACCTTCTGCAATGGGTCAGCCCCCACTGTGCCCACAAATTCTGGCCACGGAGCCTGCACACACACGGAGACACAGAAGCCAATGCCCCCTGCTCTGTGGGCTGTGCAGCCCCCCAAGCCCACCAGATGCAGGGTGCAGAGAAGCTCCAGGGGAATCGGATGCCCCGTCTGCCAGTGCAGCCTCTGACCCCTACCAGCGCAGCCTCCAGAACCTGCCAACGCAGCCTCCCATCCCTACCAGCGCAGCCTCCAGAACCTGCCAGCGCAGCCTCCCATCCCTACCAGCGCAGCCTCCAGAACCTGCCAGCGCAGCCTCCCATCCCTACCAGCGCAGCCCCCAAAGCCCGCCAGGATGGCCCCTCCCCAGTTACTCCCCCTCACTTACTCCCCTCCCTCCCCACAGACGCCTCCCCAGAAGCAGAGAGACGGACTGTCACTAGTTCAGACAGTGCGGCAGGGGCTGTGCGACCTTTGTTTCCTGGGGCCTGCGAGCCCCAGGAGGGGAGGGGTTCCAGGGGTCCCGTCGGCAGCCTTGCCCAGGGCCGGGCGGGGGCGGGGCGGCGCACCTGTCCCAGACGCCCTCTCCGTCGTCGAGGCTGAGGCTCCCCCACGGGGGCCTTTCTCCCCTCCAACATCTGTGCATTTCGATATAACTTCCCAAAATATTACTCTGCAATTATTTCCAGAGACTTAAGTGGGATCCTCAAGTACACACAATTAAGGCTAAAATTGTAATTTTAAATTACTGCTAATTTGAATAAACATAAAGCGTTCCCATCTCCAAGCCGAATGCAGACGGCAACATCCCAGTGAACCCGCAGAGGCCACCAGCTCCTGCAAACCAGAGAAACAGCACCTGAAGTGCGCGGCGCCCCCTCCACTCGCTGTGCAAACGGCTGCTGCCTTCCCAGCTCTGCATGAGGGGGCTCCTCCTCCGGCCACCTCCTGGGGGACCAGAGGGAAGTGTGGCGATGACTTGGACCTGTGGCACCAGCATCAGGTCGGGGGACAAGGATGCAAGGACACCCCCGGCCAGCCCTGCTTTCCTGGGGGGTGGCCTTTGGCCCCCGCCCAGTCACCTCCCGTTCTAGGGCCTCCTCTGAAGGCCGGGAGCTCCAGCGTGACCCGCTTGCGCTGTCCCGCCTGGAGGCCACCAGCTGTGGGACGGAGCGTGACCCGTCCTGCTGCCCCAGGGCGCCTAGGTCCTCCAACAACTGACACCACCCCGCCCCCCAAGCCACTGTCCCCAGTGCCCCAGCCCACATAAGACCAGGAGAAAGCGGCCGGTGGGCTTTCTTTGGAGGGCTGTGCCCGTCGGAGGGGACAGGTGGCTCTGTCTCACCTCTGGGGCGGTGATGCGACACCCTCGGCGCCATCTGCTCAGCACCAGCCTCACAAGCTGCAACAGGTAGGAAACAGTCCCCGCACTGGCCCTGCTTGAGGAGGTGCCCCAAACAGCAGCAGGGACCCCGATGTGTCCCTGCTCACCCATGTCCACCCTATACTGGCAGGGCAGGGGCCTCTGACACTGGCTGGGGACAAGCCTTTGGGCCTCCCTGTCACCAACTTCTTTCTACATAGACATAGGTGGACCCATGTCCCCCTTCACGTAAAATCACTGCTACAAATGCTGCCACCGTGGGCAGAAGCAACTTTATGTCTAGGAGTGGGCGGCCAGTCACGCTTCCTCACACGGGATCCGTGGTCTTCAGAAAAACAGTTTTCCCCTTCTGCCGACGGAACGAGGAAAAGCATATCCGTGACACTTGTCATTAAGAGCAGGACAGATGGTGACGGTTTAAAAATCTGTTCGTGAGAATCGACGCTGGCGGCGGGATTGTCAACGAGACGTGGAGAACGGGGCGAGCTTGTTTTTCGGTGTGTGCAAGGCCCGCGGTCCCAGAAACGGGGTACTGGGGGTGGCGGCAAAGCGGGGGGACCACAGGTCGGCCCACGGCGAGGGGCAAAACAGCGGGCGACGGAGACGTGACCCCAGGAAGCCACGCGTTTCTGTGCAGGCCAGGGAGGCCCTGCCGCAGCGCCGAGACGCATCTCCAGGGGCGGCCGACTGTGGGCGATTTCCTCTATCCAGGGAGGACGCCCGGGAGGCCCCCAAAGGCACGTTCAAAGGCAGGTGCTTCCACGTCGCCGGAACCACAACGCACAAGAGAAACCTCCAAAGCAGCGGCGGCCACCTGCGACAAGGTAGCTTTGGCCAGGTTCTCTCTCTCTCTCTCCCTCTGTTTACTCACTCAGAACGTGCCAGGCACTCTCCTGGGTGTGGGGGCGAGAGGGGGCAGGCGGATGAGGTTCCCGCGCCCCAGAGTCTGTGTTCTCACGGGGAAGGGAGGCGGCCAGTGAATGAACCGCCCAACAGAGAACACAGTTCCGGGGAGGCAAAGCAGGCGAAGGCCTGGGGTTCAGCTCTCATGCGTCGAGAGCCTTGAAGTCGTCCCCCATGTCTGTACCGTGAGAAAAAGCTGAGCAAACTGAACGTCACTGACTTTCTCAGACCCATCTGTGAACTGAGTTTATGGACCGCGCCCCCCCCCGCCCCCCCCCCCCCGCCACTGAAATCTGAGCGGTCAAGAGACACTTGTTCCTGGCTCTGGCAGACGGAGGGGACAGTGAATACGGCGAAGCGCACCCAGAGCCTCCTCTGTGACCGAGGCCTGCTGCCCAGAGGGATGGCTTGACCAGAACCTTGTCTCAGAGCCATGGGACAAAGTCTCGCTGGAGTTCCCATGCGTGTCCTCACATGGTGGAGGGGGCCAGGGAGTTTGGGATGGCGAGGCTCTTTGATGAGGGGACCGATCTCATCAGGACGCCTCAGCCTCGTCACCAAACACCGTCCCCCTAGGGGCTGGCAACGTCTGAGCGGGGAGGGTGGAGGACACTCAGAGTAGCCCCGAGGCAGACCGCGTTTGGGGCCGCAGAGCGCACCTTAAGTGTTTTAAAAATAGAACTAGCAGCCCGGACTGGAGCGAAGCTAAAAATCAATAACAGGCAGATAGGGGAAATCCCCAACGATCAGGAAATCAAACAATGCAATTCTAAATAGCACGTGGGTCTATAAAGATGGCAAGCGAAGATTTAAAAAAATTTTTTTGAACTAAATGAAAATGAAGATACCATTTATCAAACTGTAGCAGAAGCCATACCTAGAGAGAAATTTATGGCATTAAATGTACATATTAGAAAAGAAGATCAAAAATCAATCACCTACACTTCTCCCTTAGGAAACAAGATGGAGAACAATTTAAGCCTCAAGCAAGTAGAAGAAATACAGTAAAAATTAGAGTATAAATCAATGACACTGAAAACAGGACAATAACAGGACTGGCTCTTAGGAAACACTTGTATACTGTGTGGCTGTTTGCCCTGTGGTTCTTTTCATCTCTCTCCTCAAAACATGGGTAAATACGTAAAAACAGAAGACGGTAAAAAAGTATCAGTGCAGCTGCACTTGTTTAGGCTTTTGTTAGAGAGAGGTGGGGGCAACAGAATGCATTGCTGGTCTCCCAGCCCCATTTAGCTGAAATGCACGTGGCAAGGGCACGCCAGCCACAGCACTGGGTGACCGCCACAGGCCCTACTCACCCAGAGTCTCCAGGCCGCGGAGGACTCTCGGCCATCCGCAGGACAGTCCTGGCCTCGGCGGCTGGCTTGCCCACACGAGATTCCGCAATGTTTAACCTTCCGGACACTGGGATGAGAGAGGCATAAATGGGGCGTCAGTGGGGTGGCCACGAAAGCTACACATTAGTTCACACACCAAACACCACCAGCCTAGAATTCTATACCCAGCAAAACTATCCTTCAAGAAGGCGGCGAAATAAACCTGTGTCATAATTCTCAAAAGCAGCTCAGAGCTCCAGGATCAGAATGCCAAGGTTGTGCAAAGCCACCAAACAGTGTGAAAATCAAGAGTCCCAAGTTGATCATGAGTCTTCCCAAGTTTTTGAGTAAGCCCCCTTTTATTCCAGGAGGTCAGCATGCACAGGTAACTAAGGATCTGGGGTCCAAACATGGGGGTGTATTTCCCAAACCCTCTGGAGGAAGATGAGGGGAGCCTGTGGCATTAATATTTCAAGCTTCATGAGCGCCGACAGGAAACGAAACACATTCTTCAAGGTTTGTTCCCAACTTGTTTTCCCAAAGTAGCACACTGCTGCAGGAGATGAAGTGTTTGGTGCCATTTGAATTACTTTTCTTAAAATCCCCTATGGTATACATGAGGGAGGGTTCACAAAATACACTAAACAAAGCCTTTTCAAAGGGTGATCGTTTGTGGGTGTGCAGGCAGAGCCACGGTGTGTGCAAGTGACACCGTTTGCTCCCTGACACATGGGGGCGCCAGCGCTCAGCCCGCAGAGGGTGTCACCCTGGATCTGCGCGCGGACCACAGACACCTTGGCTCCCAGCCTAGCTCTGCCACTTACAGCCTGGGAAGACTAAGGAACCCGTCCATGCCTCGGAGGATGATGGGCGCGCGGAGATGTTGGTGTTTGGGCCCCTCGCATCCCAGTCTTGCTATCTTGTCACGATCGGGCACCGCCCCTCCTGACCTCTCTGCTATTCCTCTGCTGTCACTCCCTCAAACACACTAGACAGGTGTCGCCCCAGGGCCTTTGCACGGGCCTCCCCCTGGCCGTCCACATGGTCCCCACCCTGCCCCCTGCACGGTGCTCACAGGTTCGTGGCCCTCCCTGTACACCCTCCTGAGAACTGTAACCCCACCCACCTCCTTTCCTGCCCTCCTCCCCTGCTGGGTGCTCCTCTGTGGCACTTGCCACCACCTAACACGGGACATTTTTCTTTTATTCATCTCGGTTATCGTCTGCTTCCCTCACTGGGAAGTAAGCTCTTTGAGGGCAAGGAGGTTCGAGCCACACTCAACAGACACTTGTGCAGTGAATGAGTGAGCCCCATAAATAGGAAACTTAAAACCGCTGGGAAAAAAAATTAAGCCTATTAATTTTCAAAAACATGGTGGTTGATATTCAGGGATCCCCATGCGAGAATGGACACAATTGAGGGGCTGCCTGCTGAAGTGGATGATGGAGCCAAGGGATTCTCCCAGAATGCAGTGCGAGCAGACCCTGGGCAGCAGCCCTGGAGGGGAGCCCCTGGGCTCCAGGAGCACCCTTCCCGCACCCACCACCACAGTCTCCCTCTCTCCAAGTTGAGGGACCTTCTATTCCCAGGACAGCTCTTTTATTTAGGGACGGGGGCCAAGGAGACAGCACAGGACACCTCAGAAACCACGTCACCCTCTGGCTGGGTCCTTGGCCTCTCCAGGCAGCCCCATGTCAGAGCTGCTGGCCTGAGGGAGGGCCACTCTATTTGGCTGTTGGCGATGGATTACATTTTCACTAGTTTCCTCCTTTTTAAAACATTCCTTTTTGTAGGCGGAGTCCCAGTGAAGCCTTTCAGAAAAGCAAGTCAGCATTTTCTATCAAAAAATTTTAAAACGGGACCTGACCGGTGTGGCTCAGTGGGTTGGGCATCTTCCCACAAAGCAAAAGGTCCCAGGTTTGACGCCTGGTCAGGGCATGTGCCTGGGTTCCGGGCTGACTGATGACATTTCTCTCTGACATGGATGTTTCTCTCCTTCCTTTTCTCCCTCCCTTCCCCCCTTCTCTAAGAATAAATAAAATCTTTTTAAAAAAATTTTAAAGTGCACATCCTTTTACCCAACAACGCCACTTCCAGGAGTATATACATATGTGAAATAAAGGATGTCTGTATGAGGTTTTCATTGTGGCGATTTCTTAAAAACTGGAAGCAACCTAAGTGCCCACGAACAGGAAAAGGGTTAAATAAATTATGGTAGTGCCCAGGTGCTGGAATACTCGGAGGCATTTTTAAAAGAAGGTAGACCAATATGCACCGATGGAGAGAAACCTTAACAGCCTGTTGTGGCATCAAAATGGCAAGTCAGCTGGAGAAGGAGAAGGGGAAAGGGGACCCCAAAAAAGCTGGAATTATCTTCTGGAGGGCGGGCCCCTTGTAGTCCGGGCTTCCCTGCTAGGTAACTGTTGTAGGAACCTGCCTGTATCAGTGGACCAGCTGGTGGTGTTGTGAGAGGCGGCATTCAGCTTCAGTGGAGTATTTTTATAGACTCTTTCAATGCGTTTGCCTATTTCATGATGGGTGATGTATGAGCGCACCCGCCCACACTGCGCTGAGTGTTCAGCAGTTTCCGACCAAAAACGGAGTGACCCGCGTGCCCCACCCTGTCTAGTCACCCCACCTCACCCGGAGCGACTGTTCGTTGTTTCCTAGGATGAAACAAGTCCTCAAAGAGGAAATTTTTCTTGTTTTGCCAATGGGGAAGCCATGAAACAAAGAACGGCAGAAGCACTAAAAGGCATCAAAATCATTGAGCTCAAAAACTGCTTGGAACAGTGGGAAAAAGTCTTGATAGGTGTATTGCATCAAATGGAGAGGACTTTGAAGGTGACTGATGTTTAAACATGGAAGAATAAATACACTACTTTTTATAAATAAATTCCAGGTTTTCTGGGTCCCCCCTCGTGTGTGCGCGCGCACATGCATGTGAGAGAGAGAGTAGATCCCAGCTAGAGGCATGTCAAGCTGGCTGGGAAGTTTACATACGTATCTCAACTCCATGTACAGATGCAGACACACAGGCTGGGCCAGAAGGGCCCCTGCCAAGTGCTCATCAGTGGTGTCCTCCGGGGAGGGGGTAGAAATGGGGAGGGGGGCTCGGGTCAGGGGGCTCATCTTTACTTTATTACATACGTGTGCCCTGGCTGAGTCCTAACAAAATGCACCTATTAGTCACCAGCTGTATCATGGAAGCCATGGTCTGACTGCCCAGGATTTCACATCCCAGCTGGGAGAGGTCAGAGCCCTGCTGCTGGGGGTCAGGAAAGGCCGTGGAAGAGAAACCGAGTCTCCACGGGCAAGTGGCCCTAAAGCAGGGATGGGCCCTCCCGACGATCAGAATGTGCACAGCACAGGACAGGTCCAGGAGACCAAGCCCAAAAGGGACGTGGGGACTGAAGACAGGGAGGAGGCCTGTGGGGGGCCCTGGGGACCAGCGTGCGCTCGGCCACGGCCGTGGGAGACACTGGGCATTAATGTGGGAGGAACATGAAAGAGGCCAGTTGCATTCACCCAGGAGTCCACGCACAAGTGTGTGTGGCTTGTGTGTGTGTGATGTGTGTATGTGTGTATCTATGTGATGTGTTTGGTGCGGTGTGTGGTGTGTATACATATGAAGTGAGGTGTGGGGTTGGGAGTATGTGTGTGTGGGTGTGCTATGGGTGATGTGTATGTGAGTTTGGTATGTGTGTGATGTGTGGTGTAGAGTGGGTATGGGCGTGTGTGATGTGTGTGTGATGTGTGTGTGTGTGGTGTGTGTGGGTGTGCTGGTATGTTGTGTGTATGCACATGCACACACGCCCACTGGGCACAACAGGCGGGCCAGCAGCCTGGGACAGACCACGACGACGGCACACGGATCGGCCGCCTCCGGCGCGGGGATCGAACCCGCAGCCCTCTGGTGCACGCGACGGCGCTCCAACCAGCTGAGCCACCCGGCCGAGGCCAAGTGCGCATTTTTAAAGTAAACACACACACAAGGTACTCAGGGTACCTTCCGGTAAAAGGCCCAGTGGAAAGGGGAAAACTCAGGGGAAGGGAGGGCGGTGGGTGGGCCCTCTGACACCCCCCCGCAGCCCCCAAGGACTGCCCAGCTGTTGTAAGGGGGCCGGTAGGAATCGGGCGCCCTCTCCGGGGAGCGTCGGGGAGCGGGTCAGCCTGGGGCGCTGCCGGGAGGCAGCCTCCCGCCACGCGGCCGCAGCCCCTCCCCCGACCCCTGCCCCTGTCACAGGGCAGCTGCCGCAGGGCTCGGGGCTTCTGACAACGTCCCGCCTTGAGGGGGCTCATGGAGAGCCGGATGTGGTTCCAGAATTCTTTTTTAGAAAGCCAATCCGGAATAAAAACAGGAGGCTGATCAGTCCCTCACAAATGGCAAATCGCCACGTCGTGGGAGGCACAGCATCCCCGTTCCAGGCTTCAAAGCGCAGGGCGGACCTTTGAATAGTCCACGCTTCCTGGTCCCTCGTAGGTCCTCAGAAACAGAACGCCTCTCGGCTGGCCCTTCCCCAAAACAGGCTCCGTTGCACGTGACAAACCGATGCAAAGTGGCATCACCATGACCCAAATACAAGCACTGGAAACCCTTCCTGCTCTTCCAAATGCCAATAAAAATTATTTAAAATCATTTCACATCAAGCCCATTTGCTAGAACTCAAAATAACCCAGGCAAATCCACGATGAAAAGGAAGGGGTATGAAACAAAAAATCCAAACAGATACAGCTTATGAAACTGAAAAGAGAAAGTAAAATCACTTCATTTCTATGTAGGATTTCCAAAGGTAATGCTCTTGAAATCTCTTTTAAAAAGATATGGTCCCGCTGTGACCGGTATGGGTCAGTGGGTTGAGCGTCATCCCACAAGCCGGAAGGTCACAGGTTCGATTCCCAGGCAGGGCACATGCCTGGGTTGCAGGCCAGGTCCCCAGTTGGGAGAGCGTGAGAGGCAACCGATCAATGTTTCTCTCCCCCTTTCTCCCTCCCTCCTCCTCTCTCGAAAAAATAAGTAAATAAAATCTTTAAAAAATAAAAACCAACGTGGCCCCATGTCACTAATTCTTCGGGAGCCAGCCACGC